TGTCTATCAGATCTAGTCCCTTAAATCTATTTCTCATTTCCACTGTATAGTCATAAGGGATTTGATTTAGGTCATACCTGAATCATTTAGGTCATAGACCTAATGGTCTAGTGGTTTTCCCTACTTTCTTCAGTTTAAGTCTGAATTTGGCAATAAGGAGTTCATGATCTGAGCCACAGTCAGCTCCCGGTCTTGTTTTTGCTGACTGTATAGAGCTTCTCCATCTTTGGTTGCAAAGAATATAATCAATCTGATTTCAGTGTTGACCATCTGGTGATGTTCATGTGTAGAGTCTTCTCTTGTGTTGTTGGAAGAGGGTGTTTGCTATGACCAGTGTGTTCTCTTGGCAAAACTCTATTAGCCTTTGCCCTGCTTCATTCTGTACTCAAAGGCCAAATTTGTCTGTTACTCCAGGTGTTTCTTGACTTCCTACTTTTGCATTCCAGTCCCCTATAATGAAAAGGACATTTTTTTTGGGTGTTAGTTCTAAAAGGTCTTGTAGGTCTTCATAGAACTGTTCAACTCAGCTTCTTCAGCGTTACTGGTTGGGGCATAGGCTTTCAATTCCCAGGCAAGGAACTAAGGTCTTGCTTCAGGCCACAGCCCATTGCTGCCTCTCCGAGATCAGTGTTTCGGTGTTGGAGTCCCAAGCTTGTCACATACCTAGAGCAGCAGTGAGTAGTAGGTTACAGTGTTCAATTATTTGCCCAATGTGGAATGCTTTGGTGCTGAGAGATCGTTAATTTAATCTCATGTTGCAGTTAGAGCAACTGACATTCAGAGAGGTTGGTGGCCTGCCCAGGTTTCACAATGAGTCAGGAGTCAACAGACCAACCTCTGCCCACTCATTCATTCATTCACACAATTACTGAGCACCCATTAAGCGGCAGACGCTGCGGTGGGTACTAGGGACAGAATGCGGACACAGACCAAGTCACCGCAATCACAGCATTCGAGATGGGCACTAAACAAGTAAGCAAAGCAATGATGGGTCCAGACAGAGGCATCAAGGAGGGCTGCACAAAGGCAAGCCATGGAGCTGCCCCCTGGAGATGGAAAGGAGAAAAGCCCATCATGGAGGGAACCGAGAAAAGGGCATTGCTGGCTAAAGGAATTGCGAGGACGGAGGCTGTGCAGCACATTTGAGGAACAGAAAGCTGTGTGGTAGCCGTGTGGTAAGTGATGCTGGGGGCGGGGCTGTGAATGAGGTCAAAAAGTGAGCAGCCAGCAGATCACAGAGGGTGCTGGTTTAGGGGGGATGTGGTGGGAGACCAGTGAAAGGTCCAAGCAGTGTGAATTCTGGGAGAGTCTCTTAGACTCTGCGATAACAGTACTTCCCTTCCTGAGTCCCCAGGGCCTCTGGGTGTTCCCTCTTCACCATCTGATTGCAGAACTGCAGTGGGGGGACGCCATTCCTGTCGCCCCTTCCACCCCCATGACAGTGGGATCTTGTCCGTCCTTGTAGACACACACAGGTCGTCTACCTTGCAGAGCCCTGTCCTTCAGAGAAAAGCCAACCTCTGGAAGGTGGCCAGTCATGGGCTCTCCTGGTCACTCTGGCCCAGCTAGGTCCTTCCTATGCAGGTCAGACACCTCTGCATGGCTGGTGATTTCCAAAGAGCATCCCCCGCCCCCAGAAAAGGAAGCAGTGGCTTCTACACACGCCTCCCCATGGCTGCTGGTTGCTGGCTGAGAGGCTCACAGTGCTGCAGAAAAGGGCTCAGAGTCTACACTGGCCTCTTGCAGATCCCAGGCCTAGGATTGGACTCAGAGAGAAGAGACGGAGTTCCAGCCTCGTTTTACACAGAGCCTGCATCGCCATGACGCACCAGGCATTCCCTGCGGCAGTGCATGGAGCAGGTGAGGGCGATACGGCCCCTGCACCCATGGGGCTCGCCAGTTAGCAGGCCAGAGGCACACTATTGATGACCCAACTCCTGAGACTCTGCCATGTGTGGATACTCGTTGTATAACCGCGATGGCGCTGCAGAGCAGTTTATTTCAATGAACAAGGCCAGTAGGTGAACATGAGGGGGGAACAAAAACACATTGAACCTCCTACCTCACACCACACACACGAAATCTACTTGCTCTAAGGGTATTCAGTTCAGTTCAGTTCAGTCGCTCAGCGTGTCTGACCCTTTCCAACACCATGAATCGCAGCACGCCAGGCCTCCCTGTCCATCACCAACTCCCGGAGTTTACTCAAACTCATGCCCATCGAGTTGGTAATGCCATCCAGCCATCTCATCCTCTGTCACCCCCTTCTCCTCCCGCCTTCAATCTTTCCCAGCATCAGGGTCTTTTCCAATGAGTCAGTTCTTCACATCAGGTGGCCAAAGTATTGGAGTTTCAGCTTCAGCATCAGTCCTTCCAATGAACACCCAGGACTGATCTTTAGGATGGACTGGTTGGATCTCCTTGCAGTCCAAGGGACTCTCAAGAGTCTTCTCCAACACCACAGTTCAAAAGCATCAATTTTTCGGCTCTCAGCTTTCTTCACAGTCCAACTCTCACATCCATACATGACCACTGGAAAAACCATAGCCTTGACCAGACGGACTTTGGTGGCAAAGTAATGTCTCTGCTTTTTAATATGCTGTCTAGGTTGGTCATAACTTAGCACTAAATGAAAAGGCGAACTAGAAATGTTTGTAGAATAACAAGAATTACTCGTATTTGTATATTACTTGCTAGGTACCAGCACTGTCCTAAGTGCTTCGTGCATCTCAAGTCATCTTAAGCTTCACAGCTGTCACAGAAATAAACATAAAGAACAATAAAGGAGCAATGTCCAAGGTCTGTTCAAGTCCATTGCTTGAACAATATCTAAGGTATAACATTGAAAGAAAAGATTGATATGGTTGAACGCTTTAAAGTTGGCAACTTCTATTTCTCAAGAGACCTCATTATAGAGAGTACAAATGCAAACCATAGGATGGGAAAGGATACTGAGAAGCACTTGTACCTAATCATCACATAAAGAATATCAGAGACCACGAGGAAAACAGTCCAATCAAAAAAAAAAAGAGCAACGGACTTGAACAGGCCTTTCACCAAAGACAATAGAAATATGGCAAATTAACCCATGAAAAGATGCTCACACTCACCAGTCATTAAGGGAAATGCAACTTAAAACCATGATGAGATACCATTGCACACCCACCGAAACGACTGGAGAAAAAAAACAAAAACTGACCATACTAAGTGTAGGTGAGGATGCAAAACTTCTAGAACATTCTTACACTGCTGATGTGACTGCAGAATGACATAACCACTCAGGTAAAGGGTTTGGTATAACTGAGTACAGTTGAAGCTATTTATACTCTGAGACCCAGTAACTTCAATTTAGATAAACCTGCACTTGGATGAATATGCAAGAATATTTCCAGTGGAACTGATCATGATGGCCCAAACCAGCAACCACCCCGATGTGCATCTATAGAAAGAAAAAAAAAAGGTAAATACTGAGTTATTCAAATAATGTAGCAATACAGCAGGAAAAATGAGAAAAAAAAAAGAAAAACAACTTCAGCTAAACACATACAGACTGATGAATCTTATCCACAGAAATGCTAAATGAAAGAAGCAAGGCACCAAAGCCTATAAACAGTATGTGTGGTCCAGTTTTTAACTCAAAAAGTTAGTAAAAGGGGGGCTTCTCTAGTGGCTCGGTGATAAAGAATCCATCTGCCAATGCAGAGGACACAGGTTTGATCCCTAGTCTGGGAAGATCCCACATGTTGCGGAGCAACAGAGCCCGTGTGCCGTAGCTATCGAGCCTGTGCTCTCGAGCCTGGGAGCCACAACTAGAGAAGCCTGTGCATGCTAGAACCCGGGCTCTGCAACAGAGAAACCACAGCAACGAAGCCCACACAGCAGTGAAAACCAAGCACAGCTAATAAAATAATAAAATGAGTAAAATGAAACTTCGTTGTTTGGGGATCTGTTGGTAGGTGATAAATTACAAAGAAAGGTGAGGAATTGACCCCCACCAGAATCAGGACTGGGGAGGGGGAGGAAGAGACCCATGGTGGACTTAAGAGAGTAGGGGAGATGCTGGAAAACCTTATTTTTTTTTTTTGTCTGGCCCCAGCCTCCTGCCCTCTGGCCACAGCACCGTGGCCATAAATCACACTACTGCCCAGAGGTTTGGCCTCCCTGGTAATTTCCGTCGGGCATGTGGGATGCATCTTCTGCCAGAGACAGGCCCTCTGAATCTAACCCCCCCATGCCCTTCATCTGGCCCTGCTCCACGTCCCACCAGCTCTCTGCTCCAAGCCTCAGTTTCCCCATCTGTCCATGAAGCAGGATGGCCCGTGCCATGCCCAGCTCACTAGGGTAGGATGTACTTCAGTCGTGTCTGACTGTGCGGCCACCCCATGGACTGCAGCCCGCCAGGCTCCTCTGTCCATGGGATTCTCCAGGCAAGAACACTGGCGTGGCTTGCCATTTCCTCCTCCACTAGGGTAGGATAATGAACATTAAAGAGCTTTTGTCCAAATGCTAGAGGTTGTCGAGAGCCCTGAGGGTCTGCCAAGCTGCTGCAAGGCTGTGGGAACTGAGATGCAGGCCCACCGCTCCCCCCCCAGATCCTGCAGAGGGGCAGCTCAGTCTATCAGCGGAGTTCATTAACTACCGGTTCTCATCAGCCAATCAGCTGGGGCGACCTGGAGCGGGTCACACAGCCTATTTCCTGTTTTCAGACGGGGGAACTTAGCAGAGCGGCAACCACTGATCTGCTCAGCCCGATCTTGGAATGGAGAGCTGAAGGGGGCTGTGTGACACGTCTCCAGGACCCCTGGACACGCACAGGACCAGAGGCCTCAGGTCAGTGTCTGATCCCAAGCTCAGCGGGCCTCTGCCAGCTTATGATCTGAGCCCCTTCCCCCTGCGGCCAGCCCTCGGTACCTCTGGGGGGCAGGGTGGGAGGGAGAAGGGCTGGTGACAGATACATGGGGCTTCCCTCAGATATGAGGGGCTCCCCTTAGCATACTGGAGCAGCTCCTCGACCCTCCATCACCTCAGTTCCTTTTGAAGTGCCAGGCGCCCCTGCACCCCTTCTTGAGCCTGGGGAATACACCACCACACCTGTGTTTCTGAAAAAGTGCCAGGGAAGCCCTGTCTCAGCACAGCCCTCGGATCTGGATCAAATTGTAGAATCCAGAGCACACCCTAGAACCTGCTAGATGGGACTCTCTTACATTGGGAACAGGAAGTCTGCTTTTTTACAAGCGCTTGACACCTCCACCCCCATCCCCACCCCGAGGAAGTTGTGATTATGATGGACGCTCACATTCGTGAGTGTGCCCATCCAAGGTCCAGGACCTTCTGCTCCTGGGTCAGACCAGGGTGCGTTACTCTGCTGGCCTCTCACCCCTGACGGGAAGTCCCCTGCAGGCCCTCAGAGAGGTAGCATGGGCTCTGAAGGGGGCCCTCTGTGCCCATCAGCATCAGAAGACCCGGCCTGGCAGGCGGTCCTTGGAGGTAGAAGAGATGCTCAGGGTGCCCAGGAGGGAAGGAGTAGGGAGACAGCTCCTGGAGCTACATGGGGGAGGGGCTGGGACTCTGCTGTCCGCTGGGCCACGGACAGGCCCCCAAGCAAGAACACCAACACTTGTCATATTTTATTGTAAAGTCTAGACATCTTTGCTCTGCGGGGTGGGGAGATGGGAGGGAAGGGCCCAGAGAACCCCAAGTACAGCTGTCCCCCAAAGAGCATTTGGAGTGACAGGACTGCTTTCCCCGCTTCACAGATAGGAAAGTGAGGACTAGCGCCTCCACGGATGCAGCAGTGAAAACTTTCTCCTTGCCATTTTCCAGTCTCAGCCCATCCCATAAAAGGAAACCTACAAGAGTTGGCTTTGGCTGCTGAATTTGATTTCTATTCTAAGCCCTGTGTTCATGCTCAGCTTTCCCAGGTCTTTACTGGGACGTCCCGCCAAGGCCATCATTCCTGGGGTCTCACAGGGTCTCTGGGCAAACAGTGCTTCTGACCTGGCATCAGCTGCCTGATCAAGACAGCAGAGCTAGATCACGGACCACTGAGACCAGTTCTCCTCGCCATCACCCATTTTACAGATGAGCTAACTGAGGCAGGTGCATAGAAGTACCCACAGGAATCACTGAGCCCCGCCAGAGTCCTGGCTACCAAAAGTCCCTTAGACAAGATAGCGTGTGGACCATCTGCTATCTTGCCTGCCCAGAATATAGAAAACCTGTTCCTCACCATCTATCATCTTGTCAGCAAGACAGGGTTGGTAGTCATAGCTCTCAGATGGGGAAACTGAGACCTGGAGTTAAATAACTTGTCTACGGATCCACAGTTGGTCAAGACTCCTTCAGGGGAAAAAGCTATAAGGTACTCGAGCACGTGCAGCCCGAGGTCAACCATGCCCTGCTCTGTGCTCTGGTTTCCTGTCTGTTTAGAGTGAGGCTGGATGGAGGTTTCTAGAGAGCTACCCACTGGACAGCAGCACAGAGCTCCCTGGAGAACGCCCGCGGGTTAAGGGACACTGGGCGTGTTAAGGGATCCAAGCCTGTTAAGAAGGAGATGAGGCCACCTGCACCCTTCTGTTTGAAATTTCTGTGCCTAAGCGGTACCCCAGCTACTCCATCTGAGCCAATGTTTTAATTGTCCCCTTTTTCTAATTCATCCCAGACATTTAAAATTCCATTCCAACCTACACCTTAATTCAGAGGCATTTATTTCTCAAATATTTCCCAGAGTGTCTATCACATGCTAGATACTAAGAGAGACCATTATATGGTGCCTGGGACCTGCACAGCCCTGAGCTAAAGCTTTGCATGGTGTGCCTGACTTAGCCTTCACACCAGCCTCATGAAGGTTATTATGCCCCTTTCACAGGTAGCTGAGGCCCAGAAAAGTTAAATAGCTTCCAGGCACCAGCTCATCTTGCTCACTTACCTGGGTCCCAGACAAGAGTTATGCATAAACTAAACCCCAGGACGCCTGCTGCCCACCCTCCCCTGAGTACCAGGGAAAGGATGCTGACAGCAGACCAGCCTGCGCTGGTGTCCTGCCCGCCATTTAACAGCTCTTGATCCTGACAACTCTTAAGTCTCAGTTCCTTAATCATAACATGGAGATGAGAAACTCCTACCATGCAGAGATTCAGATGAAGTGAGAGAGGGGGTATTGAGTGCAGGGTGTGAAGCCTGCTGTCACAAGCATGAGGCTTTGCTGGTTGGGCACACTCACTAACTACATGACCTTACACTAAACCTCAGTTTCCTCATCTGTTACTGAAGTCATGACAAGATTATTTTGTCATGTTGTGTCCAGCTCTTTGCGACCCTATGGACTGTAGCCCACCAGGCTCCTCTGTCCATGGGGTTCTCCAGACAAGAATATTGGAGTGGGTAGTCATTCCCTTTTCCAGGGGATCTTCCCAGGGATCGAACCTGGGTCTCCTGCATTGCAGGCAGATTTTTTACCATCAGATCCACTAGGGAAGCCCCATGACAGATTATTGTGGGTATTAAATCCGATAGTGGATGTGAAGAGCCTGCGTGTGTATGAAGTAGGTATAACAAGCTGTTAGTAAATGTTTGCTTAAAGATAGAGAGAGAGAGAAGGGAAGGATATATGCCAATGTCCCTGTTTTGGACACAGATTTCATTTGCACATGTAACATAATATGGAGTATTGGCACAGTTTTCTGGACAAGCCAGTGTCTTTCTCTTGATTTGTCATCAAAGCCATTACCTTTGCTTGAAATCACGTCATTTAAAATTCAGAGTGACTTGACAGTATAAGGACCCTAACAATAAGAGAAGGTTCTGCTCAGCCTTGGACTGATCAGTCCAGGAAAGGGCCTGACCTAGGTTTAGCACCTGTCAGTTGGTCAGAGGGCTAGGTGGGCAGTGGAGGGCTCAGAAGTGGCACCCCAATACCCATAAGGACCCCCAACAGGAGTGGGCACTCACTGTTCTCTCTTGTTTTCCTAGCAGCCTTGGAGCATGGCAAGTCACAAGCATCTTGGCAGCCCCGGGTGGACAGGACCCATATCCCAGGACATGGCAGGTACCACGCCAAAAGCATCAGCCCCCCGCCCAGACCTCCCACGTCCAGGACCTGAGGACCACTTAGGTGAGCTTGAAGCTTGGGGCCTGGTGGACGGCATAGACATTTGAAGACATTTGAAATACAAACAGGGGTACTTCCATGGAGGCTACAATAAACAGGGAAGCTCACTTAACTTGGGTTATCACAAAGTACACGCTAAGACAAGGATTTGGCGCAAGTGGTTTATCCAGGAGGTTGGCAGGGGAGTAAGGAGGAAGCGTATAGGAAGCCAGTACATGGTGTGGATGAAAAGATGACCACTGTGGGTGACTCCCAACGGCAGTCATCTGGGAGACCGTATGGGGCACACTTCAGAGCTGTCCCACCCGCAGGCAAGGAGGCCAGGCTGCTGTCCACTGGCCCCATCCTTCATCATCAAGGGATGCTCCACAACACACTGCAATGGCCCGAGGAAGCCCTCAGGGGGAAGTCCTAAATGCTCCCAATAGAAGTCAGTGCAGTGTTCCTGACTAGCGCGTACCAAGGGGGCGTGGCCGGGCACCGACAGTGTCTGCTATAGCGCCACCTCCTGGAGGAAGCGCCTGCCATATTCATGCATCCCTTCAGGACATGCCCAGTGAACGCCCGCTCTGTTCCCGGCGCTATGCAGGCACCGGGGAAACAGGATCAGTCCAACACCTCGCAGGCCTTCCAGTTCAGTAACGAAACAGATCTGTAGAAAACAATTTAGATGCCCCGGAAAAGGCTACACGGACAAGGTGGGAGGCTCTTATTCTATCAGCAAAGGGCCACTGAAGCAATATGTGGGCTGGGTCTTGAAAGACACGGTTTGGAAAAGAGCTCCCGGGACACGTGCCCCTTGAAATAAAATGCACAGTGACTTGTGCTTTTAGCGGGGAGGAAGGATCCCAGTCTTTCCCAAGATTCTCAGGATGGCCCAGGGCTCAAGTGAGATCTAAGACACACCATTATTTCCCAGGCAGGGAAAGAGGATGGCATTTGCGGCAGAAGAACTGGCATGTGCAAGAAAAAGCAAGGAGTGTGGGAAATGAGATGAGAGAGGAGGGAGGGGTCAGCTAAGCTGAGCCTGGAGCCAGGCAGCCTCGCAGCTCCCCGCACCATCTGCTGGGGTGCGCTCAGCAGGCTGGCGAGGACCACAGCATCAGCCAGGGCTGTGGGGCGGATGCAAACCAACCAGCTACATCCCTGCTGGATGTGGAACATGGGGTCTCGTGGCGGCTGGAAGTGGACGCTAGACCACAGACATACTGCGTTTCACAACAAGAAGCCGCTTGGGAGGATGGGCCATTCCAGGTTGTCCGTGGTAGGATGAATTCAGCCACGTTGGGCGCAGAAGGCTGGCTGATGCCAGACTTGGGATGAGGGAGAGGGATATTCACAGCGCTTCTGGACTCCCTCTGCCCATCCCAGACAGACCCAGTCTCCTCCCCCAGTCCCTGCCCCTAAAGCACCAACCTGTACTGGTCCTTAAGTGCTCCTGTCTCCAGACGCCCAGGGCAGCCCGAGCTCCAACTCCAGCATGACCACACGGGAGCTGCAGGAGTACTGGCGGACCCAGAAATGTTGCTGGAAGCACGTCAAACTGCTCTTCGAGATCACCTCCGCCCGCATCGAGGAGAGGAAAGTCTCCAAGTTTGTGGTAAGCAGAGACCAGAGAGTGATGACTCACCTTCACGGCCTCCTTCCTGGCATTGGGCAAGGCTGGTGGGGCCTCAGTCTCCCAGACCATGAAATGGATCGACACACTTTAACTTTCAGAGTTCTTCTGGCAAAAACCAGTCCAACAGTGAGATTCCACACTCGGCACTGTGAGGATGGGAGGAGTCAAGGTCCCTTATCCTAAGAGGCAAATGGCCCAGTTTAATCCCGTATTACCTGCTATTATCATCTGTGTCCCTTCTTCATTGTTTTTGAGATCCTTGTATAATTTTTATTATTATGTACCTATTTTTTTTCTGTAAAGTGGATCATTTTCTAAAATGAATAGATTTATTTCAAGGGAGATACCTTAAATGGAAAACCAGCATAAGAAAAGGTCAATATTAAAGTAAATAGAAAGAAAGCTCAGGGCTGTCATTAAATTTTAGCTGGTTACCATCATTAGTAGAAAGCTAGGCTTGAGGCTGACTTCTTTGTTAAAGGGCTTCCCTGGTGGCTCAGATGGTAAAGAATCTGCTTGTAAGACGGGAGACCTGGGTTTGATCTCTGGGTTAGGAAGATCCCCTGGAGGAGACATGGCAACCCACTCCAGGATTCTGGCCTGGAGAGTTCCATGGACAGAGGTGCCCGGTGGACTACACTCATGGGGTCGCAAAGAATCAGACACGACTGAGTGACTAAACAACTTTTCACTTTCTCTGTTAAAATGGAATCTCAGCCTATGTCAGGCGAGAAGTTAATGACAATGGGAGAGCCACACAAACTTTTCTTTGCCTCCCCTCTCCTCCCAAGGGGCTGGAGTAATAATAAGAGCTGACACGGAGTGCTGACTGCACATTATGGCTTCAGTGCATCAACTCATTTAATCCTCACTCAGTGAGGCAGGCCAGGTCACTATCCTCATTTCATGGACAAGAAACCTGAGGCTCAGAGAGGTTCAAATACCCACCTAAAACCACACAGCTAGCCTGTAGTGGGCTGGAATCATTACCCAAGCAGTCTGTGCCCTTCACTGGCATCCTCTTGAAAGAGAAGAGAAAAGAACAGTTTTCTTACTATATAATATCACTGCCTAACCATCACCCATTTCCAGGGTGATCTATATAATATCACAGCCAGTGTATTACCTAAAACCATCTCCGAGGAGTTCCACACTTGGAAAACACCGATGGTATTCATCCTAGCTGCCCAGTTCCGTTTTGACCCTATAACACCAAAGAGCCTCGCTGGGAGGGCAGGTTCCTGTGTGGCCTTTCTACCCTAGGATGCCTTCCCCACCTCCCCTCCGTCGCTTGTTCCTTTGTTATTCTCGGGTTGACTTCTTGTCATTCAGGATTCGCTTTTACTAGCTCAGCCAATTTAAAACAGAATCGCAGATAACGAGCACCCATTTCCAGGGCAGGCTTTCAGGGCCATCATCATTATTTCACTTCCCCGGGCTCTCCTCGGTCAGTGCAACCCCGCGGTGAGGCTGTCGTCAAAAGCGCGCTCCCTCCCTCTCTCCGCAGATGTACCAGATCGTGGTCATCCAGACCGGGAGCTTTGACAGCAATAAAGCCGTCCTGGAACGGCGTTACTCCGACTTCGAGACGCTCCAGAAGAAACTCCTAAAGACTTTCCGGGAAGAGATCGAAGACGTGGTCTTCCCCAAGAAGCACCTGATAGGGAACTTCACGGAGGAGATGATCTCGGAGCGCAAGCTGGCCCTCAAGGAGTACCTCAGCCTGCTCTACGCCATCCGCTGCGTGCGCCGCTCGCGCGAGTTCATCGACTTCCTCACGCGGCCCGAGCTCAAGGAGGCCTTCGGCTGCCTGCGCGCCGGCCAGTACGCCAAGGCCCTGGACATCCTGACGCGCGTCGTGCCGCTGCAGGAGAAGCTCACGGCGCACTGCCCCGCGCTGCTGGTGCCCGCCCTCTGCGCCAAGCTGGTGTGCTACCGTGACCTGGAGCGGCCCGCGGAGGCCTTCGCGGTCGGGGAGCGGGCCCTGCAGTGCCTGCAAGCCCGCGAGGGCCACCGCTACTACACCCCGCTGCTGGACGCCATGGCCCGCCTGGCCTACCTGCTGGGCAGGGACTTCGTGTCCCTGCAGAAGAGGCTGGAGGAGAGCCAGCTCCGGAAGCCCGCCCTCCGGGGCTTCACCCTCAAGGAGCTCACGGTCCAGGAGTACCTGTCCTGAGCCGCCCGCTGGGGAAGCTGGAGGAGGGGGCTCGCCGTTGCTCAGGGGCTCATTGGGGTTGGTTTTGAGCGGGTCAGCCACTTGGGGCTCTAGCTTGTGGCCGTGACTTTAACAGGCCCCCCTTCTGCTCCGGTGTTACCCCCCACCCCCGGTCTGCTGTGTTGAACCGAGATGCTCCCCGGTGTCCTTGAAAACCTCTGTATGTGTCCTGTGTCCTCTTGATGCCAGGCCCACTTCATCTCAAAACCACAAACCCAGCTGCAGAAACACTGGAGAGTCGTATCTGCCTTGCTGGGGGGTTTCTGTAGGCCACTGGAGGAGACGTTTCGGCTGCACATCACAGACAAAGCTTAATCCGTTTCCTCGCAGACCTCTCTCTTTAGGTGTCTAGAATATCTTCTCTTTGCTCCTCCCTCCTCGACCTGGCTTGCAAATATTCCCACCTACTCTCCTGAGTGTTCTAGCTCCTCTCTCTTAGGTTTCAGCCCAATTCAGCAAAACAAAAGGTCAGCTACTGCTCCTCAAGGCTCTGACCCCAGGATGGGCTGTAAGTCAATAATTGAAAGGCTGGAGGGTCCTGGTCTAGAAGCAGCAATCACTACCTTGGGGTGGGTTTTTCATTTGTAAGGCAGCTGTCCTTTGAATGGCCTTTCTGGATTATGTAGAAATAGCCCTGCAGGGAAGTGGGACTCTGGGTAGAAGAGACTGAATGCTCAACATCTCCCCATTTGAGAGACAATGGATTGGGGTCCCCAAGTGAAGTGGATTCCAGACCAATGACTGGGGTCAGCACAGGGCCGGGAGTTAATGATACAAGCTGGTTTGGATCCTGTATGTCTATCAGGCTAGTAGCCCCTGAAGACCTAAACCATGTAGCTGAGCTTCTCAGGCTATACTAAAGAGGCTATAACTTGGGAATCTTAATGTGGGGCACCACCCTGGCCTGAGCCAACATCTGGCTCAGCCAAGAACAATGGACAAGCGTTGTCCATCGCGGAACTGCACTGAAGGTGTTTAACAGCGACACCATGTGGCGATACCTGGAGTGGTCCAACCCGGCCCCTTCCCGGAGGCTGGATGCAGACTGACGCAGATAAAGAAAGCCTCCAAGTATCTCAATTTACTCCACGAGAAAGACACTTTTAAGTGGGAGAGACTGGCTATCTTGGAAATCTTGACATGTGGAAAATTAAAGTGTAAATGGGAAAATAAAAAGAGCTGCAATTCTTTTGTAACGGTAAAAAAGATTATACAGATTTTACAAGTTCTTCATCAAATATAAAATGCTATCAACTGTTAGATGCACCAAATATTCACTAAGAAAGAAAAAAAATCCCCAATATGGGGAGCTTATTAGGAGTTTCCAACAAAAAGCTGGGAGAGCAAAGAGTTAGCTCCCAGTGTAACGGTCCATGTGGAATAAACCTGCTTCGTAGAAAGGAACGTTGAGGAAAGGCGTGAATCAAATATTGCATTGAGAGACAGTGGGGGATCTAGATTTTGAACAGCAAACTGGTACTCACCCAGGTGTGGAATCTAAATACACACAACGTGGTCCAAAATCCTCACGCAGAGAAGTCATGGTAAAGAGCTTCTATGCAGGTGTTTCAGGTACCTGGCACCACAGATGTGAAGTCTCTCTATAGGAAGTCAACATAGATCCAGGCCAATAGAGAGGAAGATGCCATTGACTTCAGAGGTGTTAAAATGTAAGGGGAGGGACTGCATCTCAAAATCACACATATATGGTGTTCATGTGTGTGATGTAGAGACAGAGGCAAAAACCTTATGCGAGGTAGAAGGGACCTAAGAAACCGTATGGGAGACTTTCCCATCAGTATCCTGAAAGAAGGGCTGGGTACCACGGAGGAAGGAAAAGACTCACTCTGGCTTCTGAAAATGGCCCACCCACATGTTACAGTCTCAGGGCTCCCACGTTGTCTCCTCCTGGTGAAGCTGGAAGCTTCCTGCCCAGTTCTTCTGACCTTGGCCTCTGGGTCCACTGGTGTTTCTTCTTGCCACACACACACTGTGTCTTCATCGACTCCAGGTGTCTAGTGGCCTGGGGTGACCCAAAATGGCCCTCTCCTCCTGACGTCTACCTCTGTTGCAGGAGTCTGAGACCCACTCATTTCTTGGGTGCCTGGATCAAGTCTTTGAATCCCTCAACCCCCCTCCTTTCTTTGTGGCCCGCTGAGACCCCACCAGGGTAGGCCACGTTTCTGTTCGCCTGGACCCCCTCCCACCCCACAGTGTTGCTGTTTTTCTTTCTGGGGGACTCTGGTGGCAACTGAGGGTGGACACTCTTCTCCTGACTCTTCTCAAAAGTTGAGCCCCAGCACAGTACTGTGGGGGACATCTGCCCCCCAGTACTCAGGGTGGGCCCCGAACCAGATGCATGAGTGTCACCTGGGCCTTATGAGACAGGCAGAATTTCAGGCTCCAGCCTAGGCCTTCTGAACCAGAATCTGCATGTTAACAAGAATCCCTCGCCCCTTCCCCTTCCTGCTTCTCAAAGGTGATTCCTTTGGAGGCAGGTTAAAGTTTGAGGCCTGTGTTGAACTGACTTGAAGGTGCCTGGATGCTAGTCACCCACAGAGCCTGGGCAGTCTGCTGTCCGGGTTCCTGGCTGCCCCATCTCCTCCCAGCCCGGGCCCTCACTGGTACACGTGCTCCAGTCCAGGGCCCCAGGAGCCCTTGGTGGAATTAGCATACCAGTCACTCCCATACCCGGAACCTGTTCTGAGCACTTGTCCCTGAAGCCTGGGGGAGACCCGTTCACAGCAGCCTCTTCCTCCTGCTGCCGGGTGACACAGAGCCCCGTGGTCTCCCTTTGAGCTGGATTCATCATCCTTATGCGACCCCATGCCTGGGGATGCCGGCAGGTCCTTACCCGCAAGCCAGGATGGGGAAACCGTGGCTCCCCATCATGTTCGGAGCCCTACTGGGTGTCTAGGGCTTCCCTGCTTACTGCCGGCCCAATGACGCCCAGGAGATGTCCATATCCCATACAACAGACGAGGACACAGACACCCTGAGAACTTAAGTGACTTACCCAAGATCACACAGCCAACAACGGGGAAAGCAGGAAATTAAGTGCAGGCCTGTGTGACCTCCAGCCTGCGCGTTCCTCCCTGAACCCCACATTGGAGGACTGGGAGAAGAGGGTTTGCCAATATGTCCCTGGCGAGAGGTCCCTTAAAGGTCATCATCACACTCTTCTCTGTTTATAGGTGGGGAAACTGAGGCCTGGAGAGGGGACTCACTCAAGGTCACACAATGAGACAGGGCAGCTCCAGGCCTGGGCCGGGGGTGTCCACATCAGAAGGATATGGTCTGGCAGGCAGAGCAGACAGAATAATCCGGGGCTGGGATTCCAAGAGGCCTTTGAGGGTCACCCAGCTGGACCTGGGGGAACAGGGTCAGTATTGAGGCCTGAGCTGGGGTGGCTAATCTATCAGGCAGAAGGCTCTGTTCAGGATGGGCTCTGGCCTTATTGCCTACATGCCCTTAGCTCAGTGATGGTCTCTTCCAGTTCCGCCTGCTGGGGGCAGGGTTCTCCCGCCATGCCCCCAGCCAGACTCTCCCGGGCACCTCCAGAGCATCCTGTCCTCCTGCACTGCCTTTCCAGAATCCTCCTTGGGGGCCCAACAGCACTGCCTTCTGTTCTAGCATCCAGTAGCCGTTTTCCTTCTGGTTGGAAAAGAAACTTCCTAGTATGAGCCTCCGTGGAAAATCAGAATCACTTGCTATAATGAGGAGGTGGCTATAAAAATAAACACAATGAAGCCACTCACTGTTTTTACACCTCCATGGCCTTGGTCTGAGACAGGCCTTGAGTCTGTGGCCGCCAATGTCCTCTGTTAACGAAGAGACAGAGACAAGCCTTAGAGACCTGTTATCACCACCTTGAGACTGCTCTTGGATTTACTCGGAAGAAATGAAAACTACTGCCAAGGGAAATAAGCTTCTGACCACATGACTTGGATCATCCAGCGTACTCTGTGCATCATCTCAGTCCAGCTGGGGCCTTGCTCCCATGGCCCTGGCCCCCATCCCTTTCCCGTGCCCCGTATCAGCTCTGCTCTCCGTCCGACTCCTCAATCATGGGCCTGGTTTCACCTTTGACATCCCTGGCTTCCTCATCCCAGTTGGGAGGTGGTACCCAGGGTCCAACTCTGAGCTTCATAGCCTGACCTCAGGTAAGACCCCCTAAATGCGGGGAGAGTTCTGATTCATTCAAAGCCAGAACCTGGAGCGTGTCCTCTAGCTGGTGTCACTGTGTCCCCTGGGAAGAGCCAATGCCCTTCCCTGCAAGAGGCCCTGCACAAGCCCCACCCACCCAGTCAGCAGAATAGGGCCCCTCGCTAGCCTTACGTGTCTGCCTGCCTCTCATCTCTCAGCAAATAATGATGAATGATGCTCCTACTCTATGCCAGGCTCTGGGAAGAGCTAGGGACATAGCGGTGAGCTGGACAGATCAGGTTCCTGCCCTCATGGAGCTGCTCATTACTAGGGAGGCACTCACAGAGCAAACTGAAGCTGGGACAGGATGCTGCTGCTGCTAAATCACTGCAGTCGTGTCCGACTCTGTGCGACCCCGTAGACGGCAGCCCACCAGGCTCCCCCGTCCCTGGGATTCTCCAGGCAAGAACACTGGAGTGGGTTGCCATTTCCTCCTCCAATGCATGAAAGTGAGAAGTGAAAGTGAAGTCGCTCAGCTGTGTCCGACTCTTAGTGACCCCATGGACTGCAGCCCACCAGGCTCCTCCGTCCATGGGACTTTTCAGGCAAGAGCACTGGAGTGGGGTGCCATTGCCTCCCCAGATGGTCAAGGAGGGCTTCTTGGAGGAGGAGGTGTTGAAAGGAGCCATAGGGGACCCTAAGGAGGCAGCCACGCAGAAGCAGAAGCCTGTGGCAGGAAACTCCTCTGTGCCCAGGGAGCCTCAGCCCAGGCCCGGGCCCAGGAAAGCAGCAGACAGGCCCAGGACATCCCTTCCCCAAGGTGCCGCCTGGCCGTGCCCGTTGAGAGGAAGGGCTCCATGTGCTGACAGAAAGCCTCCTGGCAATGCCAATAGTGCTGTTGCCCTTCTCGGTCACTGGCCAATTGCAACGTGAATGAGCTGGAAGCTCGTGTTTAGGGCACACAGGCCCTGTGGGTTTACAAGTGACAGAAAGCCAGGGTAATCTACAAAGAGAAATGTATTCTCTGAAAAGCCCAGGAATAGCCTAGCTTCAAGGCAGATTGGAGCCAAAAACTCAAACCCTGACATCTTCGTCTGATTTCTTTCTCACTTTCGCTTTCTCTCTGTCTCTTTCCTCGGCTTTGCCTTCTCTCTCAACACGCTCTGCTCCTGGTGCCAAGACGGCTATAGCAGCAGCAGGCTCAGATGTTCCTTCTCGGCAACCCCCCACAGGGCTCCCAGAAAGCCCTGACTTGAAGGATGCGTAGGAAACACCCACCCACATGTCCTTTCCTGACCACAATGAAGAGGCAGGGCAGACTGCAATGAATTCCCCTGGCCTTCACCACAAATCAGTCTCCACATTGTAATCCGCTGTTTAAACTTTTAAATAGACTTTATTTTTTTTTTTAGAGCAGTTTTAGGTTCCAGAGTAAGACTGAGTGGAAGGTACAGATATTTCTCATATCCCCCTGCCCACCCACATGCAACCACTCCCCACGACCAACAACCCCCACCAGAGGGGTGTGTGTGTTACAGCTGATGAACTTACAATGACACATCATTGTCACTCAGAGCCCATAGTTTACACTAGGGTTTACCTGGGGTGTTGTATGTTCTATGCGTTTAGACAGAAGTATGCACCATTATGGCTTCCCTTGTGGCCCAGTGGTAAAGAATTACCGCCTGACTGTGCAGGAGACACAGGAGACTTGAGTTCAATCCTTGGGTTGAGAAGATCCCTTAGAGGAGGAAATGGTAACCCTATCCAGTATTCTTGCCTGGAAAATTCCATGGGCAGAGAAGATTGGCAGGCTATAGTCCATGGGGTTGCAAAGAGCTGGACACTACTGAGCGAATGAGCACGCATGCATCCACCATTATAGTATACTTAATGTGATAAATTAAATGATGATTAGAGTGGTTAAATTTTATCTATATAACATGAGCATTTTCCTAGAATATATCACATTCTTCCATGCTATTTCTAACAACATTTCTAATGTATGTGCTACCGCTA